AAGAATATAGAACAACTAAAATATATAAAGGCATCAAATGACTAAAGAATTCAAAACTGATTAAAAAAAAACAGCATCAAATAACTCAGGATGTGGCTGTTTCTTGTTATGGTACTCCTCAGCCAAGGAAAGGTGAGTGCATTAACATTTGTGCAGGTGTGGAAGTGCTTACCTGGCAGTGGCCAGGATGTGCTCATATCGTGGAGACCATCTCACTGAGAGGATCTCGCCCCTGTGGCCTGCCAGGGAAAACTTGTTTCATGATAAACTGATACTTTAAATAACTCTGAAAATTAATATACACTATACCATTCAAAAGTTTGGGTTCAGTAAGATTTTTTTTTATACTTGTATTCAGCAAGGGTGGATTGAATTTAATTAATCAAAAGTGACGGTAAAGAAATGTATAATGTCACAAAATGCTGTTCTTTTGAATTTTCTATTCATCAAAGAATCCTGAAAAAACGTATCATGGTTTCCTCAAAAACATTAAACAGCACAACTGTGCTCAACATTTATAATAAGAAATGTTTCTTGAGCACCAAATCAGCATATTAGAATGAATTTTGAAGGATCGTGTGACACAGATCCACTTGTGGTATCTGAGATGACCCGAAAAATCTGACAAAATTCTAAGGCAAAATAACTACTAATATGGTCAGGATTCAATAACCCATGTCTGCTCAAAATATTTGAGTCTTTGGCTTTTAACGTCCCCCTGCAGACAGTCAATAATTGTATCCCTTAAAACTCATCTTTGATCACCAAAATTACATATTTACAAATGTTTTTCAAATGTAACTCTACACCCTTGCCTCATTTAGTATACGCAGTTCTATGAATATGCAAATTAGCCCTGCCTCCACTCACTCACGCCAGCTCAGAGATATACCCGTTGACGATCACACGTTGACCTGATTGGTTACAAGGTAGTTTGTGACATCAGTACAATATCCCTCCACCAGGGCTGTCTCCATTCAGAAACAACAGGCATTACTCACCCTGTAGGATGTGGATGCGCGACCCAGACTTCAGATCACAAAGCTGCACTTTAGGGTCTTTGGTACCAACTGCCAACACAGAGTACAATAGAGCTGAGTGAGAAGAATAACAAAACAGCTCAAACACACTGTTGTTGTAGGAGTTTAGAGCCCATGTGTTAGGGGCAAAACACATTAAACATTAAATGGAATGTGATCTTTAAAATGCTTCTGATTATACAGCAGCAGGAAAAAGTATGTGAACAGCATGAACACACAAATAAAAAAACAGTCTACTAACATCATAAAGCATAATCAAATATATGTTATGATGAACCCCAGTAACTGAAGTCAGGAGTTATCAAACCTGGAGTCAAGTGAGACTCACATTGAGACTATCTAATTAGAAGTGTTAGTCAGAATTGCCTGGCCGTATAAAAACTTTCTGTTCGCAAGAAAAATTGCCTGATGTGAACCATTCATCAAACCCCAAAGATCTAACACCCAAGATGAATAATTGTTTACTTGCATAAAGTTGCACAATTCTGTAAAAGAATTGATGTCACACTTGATGTCATTTATCTTGCAATTATTTACTAAGATAATTCAGAGAAGACAAAAAAATTTATCATATGTGATATAAAAATATGTGTGATGGCAGATCCCAACTTATGATAAATATGAGATTACAGAAAATATTTTATTTGATTAACTGGATATTTAAAAAATAACATTTTACTGCTTACTGTACTATGGAAGATTCTTAAGAAAAAGATTCCCTAAAATCAGCATGTTTTTTTTTTTTCTGAAAAGATGGAGGTGGGGGAAATTATGAGTTCATTGAAAAAGAAAAAGAATGTGTGACAGAAAAAAGAAACAAAGGGGCATTGAGGTGTTCATAACCTGTCGGTCCTGATTAAGAGACGAGTGCCTGGATTCCTCACCTCTCATTTTTAAAGCAGGAAATGTTTAGCTGTCTACCCATTGAGCAATAATGATGATTATGATCCTTCAAATTCTTCCACTTTAACCAAAAGTATATTCTAGAGCAGATATGAGCATCCATTTCTCTCTATTTTTTTGAAGGCCATCAGAAGATGTACAAGCTCTGATGTACTACTCTAAAGCTCTAGGAACTCTAGATTATTAATTGCTGATTCAAATAAAGATACAACAGAAAGACATCAAAGAGTAATGAGTGCTCAGAAGTTTAAAAGAACAGCCACATGCAGAAGGGTTGGTTTGGTCAGAGAACACACCTGCTATAAGACTGTGCTTCCTGGCTACAGGAGACATGTGATGACAGTAGACATTACCATCGAACTGGAACTCCTCAGCTGGCTGAACAAAACACAATCAATCAATCAAACAATCAATCAATCAATAAATAGAACCTAATGTAAAGATTATGATTTTAAGGAAATGCACAAATATATATGCCCATGTTAGATGTGCTTAATGGCACAATATGTACGTTTTTTTGGATTAAAATATTCAAAAACCACTAGAACAATGTTATATATTTAGTTGACTTGTGTACTTATATTATCCCAAGTGTTTCCAACAATAATTAAATCTAGAGATATCAGCTATTTTAACCAGTGTAACGGACCATGTCATTACGTCACCTATCGATGACATAATTTCTGCGTTACCCTCGACATCAAAGTCGCTTTAATATATTATGTGTTTTATTAGACAGGTGAGCAACTGTTTGGATACCTTTATAGACAGAAAACTAATCATTGTTATTTAGCTCAACATGGTTATTCTTATTGTTTGAATCTCTTGTTTTCTTGATTTACCATGAGTAACATGTTTGTACCCAAAAAGTAAATCAGACAACACCATTTTGTCAAGTGACTTAATTAACATAAGCAGAAAGACCTTTATTTGTTGTAACAGTAATACAACTTTTTTCCCCACCATGTTTTTAAATTAATTGCATGCCATTTAGCAACACAAGTCATCCAGTGTCTCATACCAGCCACCGAGCTAACGCACAAGAGTAACGTTACCGTTAATGAAATACAATAATGTGAATTTAAGTGATCAAATGTAACTGGAACAAAGTTCAAGTTCAGGAAAGAAGGAGGTGAACAGCAAAATAAAAGTCCCTGAGTCCCGTCAGATTGCTTTCCATTGGCTGTGGAGGTGAAGATGGAGGTGTCATGATTTCACGCTCATTCATGGCGTAATCAAGCTACACCCTTGTTATTGTTTCGACTAAGCAACCTCTCCCTACTGTGCCTTTAAAGGAGCACTTAGAAAGCATTGAATGTTGCTTGGGCACCATTCTTGTGTGTCAGTTACAATGCAAATACCAGATGCAAGGCCAATAGATAAGGGACATTTGACACCACAGAGGCTCTATTTAAGCAGACTGGTAGTTCCACAATGGCTTGCGGCTTTCAGTTGTTAGACATTTTTGAAAAAAACTATGGGAACTAATGAATGCAGACCAGAAGTACATATATAATAACAAATACTTAACCCAAAAAAGAAGAGAAAGAAGTCAATGAGTAATAATTGTGAGAAATGTGGTTTTGGTTGAAGGACGTAACGCACCTTCAGAGTTTCTGTGTCCCAAACTTTCATGGTTTTGTCAAATGAGCTGGACACAAACATACCGGTGTCATGTGGGTACCACTGCACCGTTTCAACGCTGAATTTATGCACATGCCGACTGGACCTTCACAGAAAACAGTGAAAGTCACACATAACCTGACAACACATTAAAATCAGAAAATATCAGACTGCCATCTGGTGGTCACTGGATCACTGTGAAGGAGAAGGGAGCCATACTGACCTGCCCACTGTGCAGATTGTTTTGCAAGAGTATTGAAGCTTCTTGCTGTTGTTTTCCAAGTCATAGATCACTATTACACCATCAGATCCACCCGATAACATGCTGGAATGCAAAACGGGCCAGTGAATTACTGTATTTACTATACGGGGTTATCACAAGAAAATGGAGTATTAAGAGCATATCAATGTAATATGTCAATTCTATGATTGCAGTATTCTAGTATTCTTGAACGAGGAGTACACTTACTATCTTCCATCAATAACCTCAATGTCCAGGGTGTTAATTCCATTGCCATGGACACGAGCCACATCTCTGTTGTGGTTCAACTCCAGACTAAGCACCCTAAAGACGCAGAAAGGAAGAGTGAGGTAAGTTGTGCCACTTTTTAGATAAATTTGTTTTGACATAACATTCATGTTATGAATTTCAAAAAGTTTTAGCAACAAAAATTGCTGACAAGAAATGCTGTTTGCTAGAATTCTCCCCTCAACGTTAATGATTATACAGAATGTAACACAAGAACAAATTATGGTTAGTACATTATAGCATTACACAATACCTAAAAACAATGTTGTAATGTAATGTAATGCAAAATTGTAATGTTTTATTTAACTTTGTTTATTTAGGTATTTTAATTGTATTAATTCATTTATTGTTTGTTTTGTTTATACAAATGTACCCCTGTCTATATTTGTAGAATCAATAAAAATATCCAAGAAGCATCCCCGTAAATATTCATTTTAAAAAATTATATTATAACATTACCTTCGTGTGGACTCTGCACGTCTCAGACGAACTGGATCGTCAAGGCCGGACTGCCTGGCATAAAGAAAACTCAGCATCTTTGTAGAGACATCGAGCTTTTGTTTATTTATGTATTGTATGGTATGTTGTCAGAGTGAATTGACTATATCCGAAATCTGTTTACAGTATTTAACCCTAGCTTTAGAGTGGCGATTATTTAACATGTAGAACCGCGTTTTAAAACTGAAAAAATTCATTCTGTACAACACAATAAATGTAATATGATCTATTTCAGCTTTTAGTTGTGCATTTTGTTGGTTAGGGGGCAGCCATGTTGTGACGTGCTACAACGCATACTCTGATTGGCCTGAGCGGGCGCAAGGACCAATCACATGACAGCATTAATGCTGCGTAGTTACTTGTAACCCGACGGCTCAGTGAAGTGAATGCGTCTGCATGTGCAATAGTATGATAGAATATATTGACATTTCACATATCTTTTAGTGATGAGCCGTATTAGCTCTCTGTTGCGAAGAACATTTGGAATGGTAAAAGAGCATATCGGCACAGATCATTTAGGAAATAAATATTACTTCATACCCGAGCAGAAGTCATGGACAGGTAGGTCATGCATAAGACTTTGACGAGTGTGTTTTTAAACCGAGTAACAGCCGATCGCACACCTTTATACTTCTATTTGGTAGAACTTCAAGATAAAATTAAATGGAGAGATGGTCATATAATCATGTTTATAAATTATGATTATTAAGAATCATAAATGTATTATAATATTTCAAATTAACCGCTTTAATTAAATTGAAATATAGTAAACTGTAGCCATTCTGTACGACAACCCCCAACCAACCTCTTTTCTTGGCCATTGGTTATCTCGTTCTCTTTTTTTCTTTTATTTTTATTTGGTGGTTTAAATTAACCTAATACATTGATCTCATCCCAATTCTTCCTTGTCTTTTTCAGGACGGATCATACGGCCAAGGCGCCTAGTAGAAGCAGCAAATCCAAAAGAGTTTGAGTACCTGGAAGGAAGCATTCCTTCTGAATGGGATGGTAATAGAGAGTTTTTATTGGTTTTATTTTTATTGGTAAACAAATATTATATTTTTTGATAGTGTGAACCTAATATTCAAATTCATATTATATTCTGTATTAACTGTCTAAATTAAAATTAATAACTGTTTATATGCAGTAATGAAGATATTTTATATAATTAGATGTTTTAGCATGTTGTACTTCAAGATCTAAATGTTTTATACCATGTTATCATCAAATGATCTATTAACTTAGCACCTTATTTAACATATCAATGCTTCTTGTCTTTTCTGTTTCTTTTAGCTTGGATCAGAGGCAGGCGGAAGCTGCCACCTACTATAGAGGTATTATTTCTAATTGCATCAAGAAAACCACTCAGAATATAAACTAAAATCTAAAAAAAACAGTAATGTTTTACATTTTATTTTTATTATATCTTAATACGATCATTTCTATACCTAGAATGATGTAATAAAGTCATCACTTTAAGTGTTATGTTAACACATGTGTCTTGCCCTCTACAGGAGTTGCTAAAGAATCAACACTACAGGGAGCAGATCAAGATCAAAGCTGTAGAGGCAGGTGAGAGGGATAAAGCCCTGCAGACCAAAGAGTATGAGGAAGGTCTGGTGGACCAGCCTGTTCAGACTCAGGTCAAAGGTCATGCTTCTGCCACACAGTTTGGGCAGTCTGAATTCAGTGAGGACCCCATAAGCACTGCCAACACATTTCAGCCAGGGTCCTGGACACCTCCAGGAACCAAAAAATAGTTACTTACTTGCCATCTTCAAGTACATTTTCAGTTTAAATGAATTAGTAGTTGTGCTTGTTTTCATTCTTGATAAATATTCAGTACTGGTTTTCTGGAGCCAATTGAGAAACATTGCATGTAATGATTTAGCATAATTGAAATGGATTGTAAATTGTAATGGATTTTACTCAGGATTGTTTCAAAATCAAATTACCAAATGTAGAACATTTTGTGCATTGTTTAATTGATATGACATTTAAGAAGTACTTTGTACTGTCTCAGCATATGGAAAACTTTATATCATTACAGAGACTATTGTAAAATGTGTTGCAGTGTTGTAGATTTCCATTTGCACTTTATTTATAAAGTAGGAAAATAAAAGTTGGAGCTGCAGTTGATCTCAAATTATTATGTCCTATCAAAATATTGTTTAAACACATTTTTAGCATAAGAGTGGGTGTGGCTACTGCAAGGCTTCTGGTGTCAACTGCTTTCAGTTATTTGAGCTGTTTTAGCTTTAGACTGCAAAAAAACAGTCCATTGTGCTGCTTGATGTTGCAAACTGGTATTTGTTATCATACTGTATTACTTGTATTCGATAACATAATTTATTAGTGGAATCATAAACCTACTGGTTTGTTGCTAAAATAGTTTTACTGTTTTCTGCACTTTGTTATTCTTCTAGTTATTTACCTATAGTGAGTCAAAGACACATTAGGAAATAGGTGTAAAAAAATACGGTGTATAAGATTCAAGAATACTGTAGGTTTAAATTAAACTTCATGTCAAGAATTTTCTTTATTATTAAAAAAAATCAATTTAATTATTTTGTGGATTCAACTTCAACCCAGTAAAAAATGGAATGCAGAGTACTGCACAATAGTGGATAGCACAATAATGCAGTGCATTTTCCACTGTAGTGATAATATCCTGGAAAAGTACTGCAATCCTGTTATTGAGATCAATCAATCAACCCTCCCATTATATGTTCCCAGCTTCCCACTAAGGGTTTACTAAGGCTTCCTTCAAGGCCAGTCTTGCTCCAGGTCCCATAAGAACTGTCCGGGGTTAAGAGAAGAGCAATATATCAGGGGGATGGACTATTATATTGACCCCTCTCTGTCCCAAGCTCAATCCTTCTTGGCTCTCTTGGCTTTGGCAATGTTCTCTTGTCGTTTTTGTTTCTTCTTCTGCTCACGTTCCTTGGCCTCTATCATCTTGGCGAGTTTCCATGATAACAGGGCGCTGGCGATAAACAGAGGGGTCAAAGCCAGGATAACCGTGGTGAGAAAGCCATATGGATCTTTGGCTGCCCACTCCACCACATATTCTGCCCATGCTTTGATATCAATCATCGTCCTCGGATCGTCTTCAGCAGCAGATCCTAGGAAGAGAGAGAGAGTTGTGAAATGACATCACAAGAAGATGCAGGATGTGTAAACAGTTTTAAACCATATTCTAAAGTTTACATTGTAGTTCAGACTGAGTGCCAATAGTGCTGCAATTGTCTTTGTATGCTTATATTGACTCATCATATTGTTAGCTATCTAGTTTACCAAGCAAAAGTTTTTAGAGTAAATATCTATGCTTGTTCATTCTGTGCAATAAATATATGATTTTATCACTTGATACAATGGTTAAACCAGTTAGAGTTACAGTTCTCTAACGAAGTTTGATAAGCAGCACTGACAGCTATAAACTAGCAACTATAGCGACTCTTCAGCACCACCAATAATGAATGAAGATCATACTATAGTAACTTTGTGTACATATCAGTATATAGAGCATGTTGAGCAATGTGATCATTTTAAACAAAGACAATCACCCACCAGATAAACCGTTCTATATTTACCGAGCAGTTATTAGTCGGTAACTGTTGCCGGACGCCGGAAACACCTAATAGCAGTAAAAGCGGAAGTGAAACTCTTAACTTTTGTTTGCATTGCAGTGTGGGAATTGTAGTCGTTCCACCTCACGTCCTCTGAGAACGGCCTGAAAAGGAAACCGTGAACCCAAAAGTAATAACAACAAAACTTTTAAATCTTTCCAAATATATGTAAATGATCATTTTAATTTTATTTCACCATTATTTACCATTGATATTTTGTCGCTGTTAACTTCTCTATATTTGTATTTGTTTTCCATACATGTTGTGTTGTATATATTTCCTTAGAGCATGCAATGTTATTAAATATGATAATAATAAATAAGTGAAGCTGTAACTTTTTCTTCGTTTATGTTGTATTTTGTTTTATTATTCTTTCGCATTTTTTTATTTTTTACATTTTCTTATTTCATTGATTTTATAATTCGACCAGTTACAGGTAGACACCTTGTAAAAAAAAAAAAAAAAAAAAATATATATATATATATATATATATATAGTGTTGTGAATTAACTTTTTTTTATCGTTTCTTTTGAGTAAAAAGTTCATCATTATGCAAACCAATATTTTGACAGCCAAATCTGTCATCAAAAAACAACCAATGGCTGTCGCCATATCGATCATGTGACCAAACACGCCATCCAATCATGGTCGTCGAGACGTTCGCGTTGTAATTTCAAACGTGTGCGAGGAAGGATCGAAACAACCTCGGATTATTTATAGCCAGCGACAACTCAGTGAGCGACTTTGCCTGTCGATATATTCATCGTATTAAATATAGCCTACGAGCGCCTTCAATAAATCAAAAGTAAACTCGCCCGTATATGTAGGAATAATGAAAACGGCTGTATAGGCTGTGGATACATCGTGTTTTTTTTCAATGAGTTCTCACATCGTCACCCCAGGTCCATACAGGGCCACTAAACTGGTGAGTCTCTTCTGCCTTATTTGGTCAAATATGGTGTGGTGATGTTATCAGAATCAGCTTTTATTGCCAAGTAACTTACAACTTGTACAAGGAATTTGTCCCGGTGCACAGGTCCATAAAAATAATAAATACAAACGAGGAATAAATATAGACATCTTTTGGTAACTTTACTTGTTAGCTCTAAAAGTGCTTTGTTTATTATTGGGTGTTTCTTCGTCTTAAAAAAACGAGCTGATTATTTTGATATATGAAGTTCGCATTAAAACTATTTAACATGCCTTCGTTTGTTTTTGCTATTTATGTATTTTTAATACCAATTGTTTATGCATTGTGAACAAAAAAGAGTGACAGTTATAAACTTAGAGAAGAATTTTCTTCTGTAAATCTCAGTTGTTGTTTTTTTGTCTTGGACTGTCTGTTAGACATTTGGTTTTGAATAAACTGATTGCAAGCTCTTCATGTGACATTATTATCTGTTTATTTCCCAGTGGAATGAAGTGACCAAGCTTTTCCGGGCAGGAATGCCTTTGAAGAAGCACAGGCAGCACTTGAGGGTTTACTCGAGCTGCTTCACCGCATCAGCAGCTGTGGACTGGTTACATGAACTCTTGAAGAACAACAGCAATTTTGGACCTGAGGTCACCCGACAGCAGACAATCCAGCTGCTGAAAAAGTTTTTGAAGAACCATGTTATTGAGGATGTGAAGGGTAGATGGGGCATGGAAGACCTGGAGGACAACAGCCAGCTTTACAGGTATGATAAAGTGGATCTTTTAAAAAGGTTTGACTTGTAAATCATTTTAATGTAAAATATAAAGAGAAACATAATGTTTTCTGGTTTGAAATGTGTTTCAGATTTCCATCTACATCTCCACTGAAGCCTATTCCTAACCGTGCCCCTGTTTTAAGGAAAAAGAGCATGTCTATGATGGACAGGGAGCGTTTTTTCAAATTCAGAGGGTCTAAGAAATTTGACAAGGAAATATTGGTAAGTATTTTTGCTCCAAATGTGTTGTCAATGAGAAATTTAATTTCAGATGTGTAATTTCCACTTGCTATTTCACACAGGAAAATGTGGATCCAGAAACTCAAGAATCTCAAATGGAATCATCCTCAGGTGATACTGAACGCTGCAGGGAGCTCACAGAGGAGGACATTCAAGTGATCTGGAAGAATGTGACCCTTACACAGTAAGCCGACCTCTCCCCACAGGCCCACACCATCTGTCCCATATAGTTTGTATGCGTTGAAGTTCGCAGCTTTACACCAGAAGTACTTCCTGTTTGCAGTCGCTTACGAAGAAGTGAGGTCTCTAATGGTAATACTTTGATATATCGCTTGGTTTTAAATGATTGCAATGGCATTTACATGGCACATAAATATATTTTAAATAATACTTTGGTGCATGTCCAGAAATTACATATACACTGCCGTTCTAAAATTTAGGGTCAGTAGAAACTTTTCTTTAAAAAGAGAGAGTGAGATAATACTTTTATTCATGCATTAAATTATGGAAGCTTGTTTTTGCCACAGAATAAAAAAATTTAAATGATAATTGCGACTTGATCTCGCAATTCTGTCTTTTTTCCCCCCACAATTGCAAGAAATAAACTCCCAAAGAGTTAAAGTCAGAGTTGCGGGATATAAACTTTCAAATGTGAGAATGTCAGTCAGAATTGTGAGAGATAAACTCGCAAGTAAAAAAAAAAACTTGTGAGTAAAAGCCAAATTATGAGAAAGAAAATTGTGAGTTTATATTATGCAGTTCTAACAAAATAAAGTCAGAATTGTGAGATAAGTCACAATTACCTTATTTCATTTTTTATTCAGTGGCAGAATCAAGCTTACATATTAAATTGATCAACAATGACAGTGAAAATTTTTAGTTTCAAAGAAATGTTGCTCTGTTGAACCTTTTCTATTAATCAAAAAATTCTGAATAAAATGCATCACTGTTTCCACAAAACTATTAAGCAGAACAACTGTTTTCAGTATAGATAATAATAAAAATGATAATGTTTCTTGAGCAGCAATATAGCATATCAGAATTATTTCTGAAGGATCATGTGACACTGAAGACTGGAGTAATGATGCTGAAAATTCAGCTTTCCCATCACAGGAATAAACTACATTTATTTATTAAAATAGAAAACAGTTATTTTAAATTAAATTGTTATTATATCTTACCAAATTATTGTTTTTACTGTATTTTATATCAAATAAGTGCCTTGTTGAGCATTTCTTTCAAACATTAAAAATGGTAGCACCACAGACATGGTACTTTTTTGTGAGTGTACTGCTTGCTTGTTTTTGAAGTGATTTATATAAGATTTATCTAAATTCAAAAAGGATTAACAATAGTGTAAAATTGTGAAGAATGAAGCTATATTGTCTTTTTTGCAGTATTTTTTCCCTTAGAAAATTCTGTTGCATATGTCTGTTTTATTTGAGGGTTTATGACACCGATTACCCCAAAACATATTCAATATGATGTTCTACATGAATTTGATCATCTTTTGAATGCTCAGTTTGCAGAAGTTGGTGGGATCAGGGTCTCTTGAAGATGTTTTGGATCCAGCCCAAGTCAATCCTCAGTTCATTATGGATAATATGACCAAAGTCAATAAACATGGAGTCGTTTCATTGGAAGATAAGACAGGTAGGCTTGATAATATGTGTCATTTCAGTCTAAATAATGTTGGCAAACATCATATTTTCACATTCTGATTATTTTCTCTTATTTTGTCTCCCTCCGTAGAAGATTTGCCGCACTGGGTTTTGTCTGCCATGAAATGTCTTGCAAACTGTAAGTTCTGTTACATGTGAAATGAAATGAGACAATTGAAATAAGTATTTAAAAATATTAGATCACATTCATATTGTCTTTTGTCATGGCATTTATAAGAACAAATGTAATATATATACATAGGTAATTTAATGGTGTAATTTATTTTATAATAATGCTTTATTTTCCATCCAATCCATCAAGGGCCAAAGTATGACTCAAACCAGTCATCTTACCCAGGATTTGAGCGGGATGTATTTAAAACAGTCTCTGGCTACTTCTATGGTCTTTCTCAGCCACTGCTTACTTTTCAGTACTATGAACTCTTTGTCAACATCCTAGGTATGTATGAAGCACACGTTTGGTTGTTTTCGCCACAAAAGAATACACATATGGTTTTTGTCTTCAAGTCTTATTAGTCATTACAACAGAAAATATGTTTGCTTTGAATATTAAATTACATGTACGCTACTTTTCAAAAATGTAGGGTCAGTTAGATACGTTTTTTTGTAAAATTTCAAATAAATGCTTCTTTTTTATTTAATTTAAAAGAATCCTCAAAGAATTCTGAATAAAATGCATCATGGTTTCCACAAAACTATTAACTGTTTTTTACATTGATAATATAATAAATGTTTCTTGAGGATCAAATCGGCATATTAGAAAGATGTGACCGAAGACTGGAGTAATGATGCAGAAAATTCAGCTTTGCCATCACAGTAATAAATGACATTTTAAAAATGCAGTATATTGGAAAAGAATGCAGCAGTTATTTTAATTTGTAATAATATTTCACAATTCTGTATTTTTGATCAAATAAATGCAGCCCTAGTGAGCTTAAGAGACTTCTTTCAAACATGAAAAAAAATCTTACCAACCCTAAACTTTTACACGGTAGTGTAACCTTTTTACAGTTTACTTAAGTATGGGTCAATATGTCATTTGAGAATCGGGCCTGGGTTGTTTTAATACTCACATGTCATCCTTTCTGGGAAATGCCTCCTAAAGGATTACTTAAACCTTTTGGCTGTGGGTCTTATTTTATAAAATATTGATGAAACGAATTGTAGAGTCACACAAAGCCATTTCTACTGACTACACTGCTTTTGTGGTGTCAGACGATGTTGAAAACTAACCCTGTCTGCTCTGTTTTAAATGTCTCACCTCGTTCTTAAAATTCTTTGCCTGCCTGTTTGTTGTTTATGTTCTGTTGTCTGGTCCTTTGCTAGTTATGTGTGGCTACATCACGACACCTAAAACTCAAAGTGGAAAGCGTAAAAGCCAGGAGGAACCCAACTGTCCACATCCAGCCAAAACTGCTGTGAATGCAGCCAACCTGTTTAAATCGACTGAATGCCTCCTGCTGAGCTTAATAAGAAAGGAGGCCTTTGATGAAGCAGATTCGCCCATGAGGGAAGTTTTCAGTTCAAAAGCAGAGACTAAGTTAGAAACCCATAGAGCGCAGCAGCCTATTTTTAGGGGTAGAAGGGCCAGCGATGGAGACGGGCTGGACGGTAGCTATCTAGAAATTCCTCAGGCTCAGAAAACAGAAGTCCCATATGGCAGGCTTCGGTCCAGAAGTTGCTCTCTGGAGGGAATCATTGATAAATGTTCAAAGAACAGACTTTTCAGATCATCTGAAAGCCTACAGTCCTGCAGCAGCGACAAATCATCCTCTCAAACTGATTCTCCAGTAGACCCAAACCTCAAATTTGAGCTTCAAGATTCTTCAGTGTCCAAAAACCCTTGTGTTCAAACTTTCAGCAACGACACAAGCTCCCAACTCTCTTCACAATCACATCTTCGTCGAACCAACCAGAGGCCCGCCAGGGCCCGGCCCAGAAGCATCGGTAACTTGCTTGACATAGAGGAGAATCGAGAAATGTCTGCTAGCAGCTTTAGCATCCACGCTCCAGTGGCTGAAATTACCATGAGACCAGATTTCACATCCAGCATTGGCCTTAGAGGTCCTGGTTTGCACAGTTTGCATGGAAGTTGCATGGATGTTAGGGCAGGTCCGAGCATTAACAGGCGCTGTCAGAGCTCTCTGGACCTGAGCAAACCTGCACCCACTCGGCCCCCTTCGGCCCTGTTAAAACGCCACCCTGAGCAAAGTAAGAGCATGTGCAAAGCACTCATGAGCTTCTCTGTTTGTGATTGAGCATGTGTTTGTTGTGCCTGCCAGACTAACTAATTCTTAAAGGGACAGTTCACCCAAAAATGTGAATTCTGTTGTGATTACTCACCCTCATGTCATTCCATACAAGTATGACTTTCTTTTTGGCGTGGAATTCAAAGGAGATACTTGAGAGGAGAACGAAGCTTCTCTTTTTATTTTCATGCTAAGAATCTCCTCCTTGTTTTTATTTTGGGGTGAACTATCACTTTAATGCTAACTAATTCTATAGCACACTTTGGCTACTAATACATACTTTTGTTACATTATTCTTTTTTTTTGTGCTAATTTTTGGATAAAAAGTCACGGTAGATGGGTGTAATGTATATTTGATATAAACTTAAAACATGGGTAACAGAGCAAAAGTTCCTAGGCTCCTACAGATCCTACCTCTATGCAAGTAGGTTATTTAATTGATAACATTTAGTTTTAATTTGTGTTTAGTACTTACTGCTTTAAAATAGGAAAATGTAAACATTTTAAGAGATTCCCATTTAATGGAATCAGTGGGATGTTTTAGTTAACTTGTTTAACTGAAATTTAAAATATATTATGTTTTAAAATAATGCATTCATATATATATATATATATATATGTGTGTGTGTGTGTGTGTAATACACATACATCACTAGTCACCGTATTAGAATTCCTTAGATATTCCAAGTAAATGCAATTTATGTGTTTGATTTGATTACATGATGTTTAAGCTGACATCATGATGTTCATTTTGTTTGTATTTAAGTTCTAGGCTGGTAAGTTCTGTGCTGTGGTTTATTTCGGTTACATGTGGGTCACATCACGTTCCAGGTTTATTGCAGCCTTCATTGGAGCGAGTGGCCATCGAGGCCCTGCAGCTCTGCACGTTACTCCTGCCGCCTGCCAGTCGCCGCAAACTACAGCTACTCTTGCGAATGATCTCGCGCATGAGCCAGAACGTGGACATGCCGCGACTGCATGACATCATTGGAACACGGACTCTGGTCAGGAAGAGTCCAAAAAAAAACTTTTTATCATCATAATCTCATTCACATTAAAGCAAATGCATGGTTGTAATGTTCTTTTGTGCTCATTCTTATGTCGTTTATGTGTGTGCAGTTGGTGCAAACGTTCTCTAGATGTGTCTTAAGTTGTGAGGAGGTGGGTGACCTGGACGAGCTCTTGGCTACAAGGCTGTTATCGTTTCTCATGGATCACCATCAGGAAGTCCTGCAGGTGCCTGTGTACCTGCGCAATGCTGTGGAAGATCACATCAACTATCTCAAATCACTGGTGAGTCCTGACAAAAATGAAACATCACTGAACTTACTTAAGCTGGACTGTGACGCTATTTTCTTCTGGAAACATTATTTTCCTGTTATCTCTGTAAAGCAGCTTTGAAACAATCTGTATTGTAAAAAGCACTATACAGGTCCTTCTCGAAAAATTAGCATATTGTGATAAAGTTCATTATTTTCCATAATGTAATGATAAAAATTAAACTTTCATATATTTTAGATTCATTGCACACCAACTGAAATATTTCAGGTCTTTTATTGTTTTAATACTGATGATTTTGGCATACAGCTCATGAAAACCCAAAATTCCTGTCTCCAAAAAATTAGCATATTTCATCCAACCAATAAAAGAAGTGTTTTTAATACAAAAAAAAAAGTCAACCTTCAAATAATTATGTTCAGTTATGCACTCAATAGTCAATACTTGGCCGGGAATCCTTTTGCAGAAATGACTGCTTCAATGCGGCGTGGCATGGAGGCAATCAGCCTGTGGCACTGCTGAGGTGTTATGGAGGCCCAGGATGCTTCGATAGCGGCCTTAAGCTCATCCAGAGTGTTGGGTCTTGCGTCTCTCAACTTTCTCTTCACAATATCCCACAGATTCTCTATGGGGTTCAGGTCAGGAGAGTTGGCAGGCCAATTGAGCACAGTAATACCATGGTCAGTAAACCATTTACCAGTGGTTTTGGCACTGAGCAGGTGCCAGGTCGTGCTGAAAAATTAAATCTTCATCTCCATAAAGCTTTTCAGCAGATGGAAGCATGAAGTGCTCCAAAATCTCCTGATAGCTAGCTGCATTGACCCTGCCCTTGATAAAACACAGTGCACGAACACCAGCAGCTGACATGGCACCCCAGACCATCACGGACTGTGGGTACTTGACACTGGACTTCAGGCATTTTGGCATTTCCTTCTCCCCAGTCTTCCTCCAGACTCTGGCACCTTGATTTCCGAATGACATGCAAAACTGAGCAACAGTCCAGTGCTGCTTCTCTGTAGCCCAGGTCAGGCGCTTCTGCCGCTGTTTCTGGTTCAAAAGTGGCTTGACCTGGGGAATGCGGCACCTGTAGCCCACTTCCTGCACACGCCTGTGCACGGTGGCTCTGGATGTTTCTACTCCAGACTCAGTCCACTGCTTCCGCAGGTCCCCCAAGGTCTGGAATCGGTCCTTCTCCACAATCTTCCTCAGGGTCCGGTCACCTCTTCTCGTTGTGCAGCGTTTTTTGCTACACTTTTTCCTTCCCACAGACTTCCCACTGAGGTGCCTTGATACAGCACTCTGGGAACAGCCTATTTGTTCAGAAATTTCTTTCTGTCTTACCCTCTTGCTTAAGGGTGTCAATGATGGCCTTCTGGACAGCAGTCAGGTCGGCAGTCTTACCCATGATTGCGGTTTTGAGTAATGAAACAGGCTGGGAGTTTTTAAAAGCCTCAGGAATCTTTTGCAGGTGTTTAGAGTTAATTAGTTGATTCAGATGATTAGGTTAATAGCTCGTTTAAAGACCCTTTTCATGATATGCTAATTTTTTGAGACAGGAATTTTGGGTTTTCATGAGCTGTATGCCAAAATCATCAGTATTAAAACAATAAAAGACCTGAAATATTTAACTTGGTGTGCAATGAATCTAAAATATATGAAAGTTTAATTTTTATCATTACATTAGGGAAAATAATGAACTTTATCACGATATGCTAATTTTTTGAGAAGGACCTGTATAAATAAATGTGACTTGACAAACCACATGGAAATTACTCAGTGTATTGTAATGGACTTACAATAGACGTCTTTAGGGCCATTGTATTGGAGGAATGAAACACAGAATGTTAAATTGTATTTAAACCAGACTATTCCTGGTAAGAGATGCCTCTGTTTATTCATTAATTTTGTTAATTTGTGGTTATTCCCCTCACATTCATTTGCATGCGCTCCTGATCTCAGACCACATGCGTAGGCCCTGGTGTTGCCATGCCGACATACTCATTCTGCAGGCAGATCAGCACTCAGGAGTTTGAAGAGCAGAAACTGTCTGTGTCCCAAGCTGCTCTTGCTGACCTCCTGGAAAATCTTATAAAGGACAAGACCATGTCTGTAAAAGAGAAGAAAAAGAAACTAAAACTGGTATTTATTTACTGAACTTCTCATGTCATAAAAATCCTGTTTCCACAAAAGGGGTACAAACAAGGAGTAAAAATCTTAAAAGGTTTAATTTTTGTTATTTTATAGAAGTAAATATTAAACACAAATTTAGTGCAGCAAGCAATTTCTGAGAAACACGGTTGATATTTGAAATAAACCGAAATAAACCGAAACAAACACACCCCTCCCTTCATTGCTCTGCCCCCAAAATGCACAAACATGCAATGCAAGATAATGCTAGAAAGGCTGCGTCCGAAATCGCATACTCTCTTGAATAGGTACTTGTTTTGAATAAGTAATTACTTCACGACCGCTAAAAAAAGTATGTTCCATATTGTATGAGTGTGTGTAGTATGACTGTAATCCGGACGTACTACATTTGCCATGTTGTCATTATCATGTGACCTACCCGCGTCAGTTCATAAATCCTCTCCCGTGGCCTCATGGGATAGTAAAGTGTGCATCGTATGTGCACTTCAGAATCTCAACGAAAAAAGTACTGTAGGTCATCCAGGTACTTTTGTCCTACTCTTTTATGAGTACTGTGAATTCGGACATACTTTTTCTTTTGTCACATACTGTTTTCGCCTAGTATATAGTAGGGAAGTATGTGTTTTCAGACGCAGCCAACACTCAAAACTGTCCTGTTACTATAGCTAACATTACAACAACAGTATATATGGGGTTCTGTGAAGCAGCAAAACCAATGTTACTCACATATGGAACAGAAACAATGTAACCTCAGCACAACCTCATATCCCTTCTTTTTCTAGTGATATTCCTCTGACATTTTCTCTTTTGTGTCTCTCAGCCATCTCTCTTTCTAGTCTTTCTTCAAATCGTCCTCTTGCTCACTCTCTCTCCTCCCCCATCACGAGGGGACACACACGCCCCCCTACTGCTGATTGGCTACAAGTGTTGTGGTGCTCGGTTTCTCAGAAATCGCTTTCTGCACCTTTGTATGTTAATCATGGTCATTGTATGTTAATTTTATTATGGCCTAAAAGCAAATAAACTTTTTGTTGTTGTTCTCAGTTTCAGAAGGAATATCCTGACATCTACTTGAGACGTTTTCCCACAACAGAGAGTGAAGCTCAGCTTTTTGCAGATAAACCAAAGATAAAACCTCCAATGCTGTTAAGCCTCAAGAAACCAAAAACCTTCAGTATTCGAAACTGAATACCTCTTAAAAACCTCATGAATGAATGATATTTTGGGAGATGAGTTTAAAGACATTTAGCTGATCTTTTGCCATAACATTGGATCGCATCAGAATCTGAACTGTAACTTCAATTGAAGTGTTGTTTTTATGTTTCTTGTGGTATTTCTCTCCCGTGAAGTGACTTTTAATGGTCTTTTCCCCCCAGTTTTAATACAAATGTCAGTTTTAATGTTATTTATTTGAGGTGTGTGATTTGTTGTAAGTTATTGGGAGCTTTCAGTCATTCGTATTGTAGTAGTAAGTACAAAACTCAGAGGACCCACAGCAAATAAACAGCTTGACATACTGTTTACATGGAGTCTCCTTTAAATGAAGATTTTTCTTTTCTTCTTTTTAAAATTAGTGTTGTGACATTGTTTATGTTTCAGTTTTAGTCTCTTGTTTTTCCATTATCACCTTTTGTGTGTCTTCAGGTGTTTTCAATATTCAGGTTGCACAGAATATGTTTACTCGGACTTCTAAAGACTAACAACAATTTTCTGTGTGATGTGGGAGTTCCTGGCTATTAAGCTAGTATGGGCTAATTTGCACTGTTTTTCATCTCAAAATTGGCTAACGTGTTATTTCTTTAATTTTCTTTCTAGTCTGTAATGTACTCATATTTGCTTATTTTTGTATTGTGTCGGTGTGAATGGATCATCTTACACTCATGTCACTGTACTCAGTTTCAGTTGCTTGTGTATTAAGAATGAAAGCCTAAATTTGGATAGAGATTGATTTATCTGTGTCATCATATAGTTTTACTGTATTGAGTTAATGGGCATAATTGAGCCAAATCCATTGCGTTTTATGTTATTACTTTATTCTATCACCCTAAATACTTTTGTAATACTGTTCCTGATCTATGCAATAAACTTTTAAACTAAGCATTATTTTCTTTGTGTGATATTTGATGTTTTATTATTGAATAATTGCCAGTATTTGAAAGATATAAACATTTATGCATATGTCATTTTAGTCTCTGATTTGTTAGGACAGGAGTGCTGCATTGTGGACCTTCATCTGTATTCACATCCAGTCTCCTTTTATGAATGACATGGTGCCCTCTCCCCAGAAACCATCCAGGGAAATAAACAAAGAAAATGTGATGAATGAGATGCCTCTTCACATGCCACATTCCTATGTCTTTTGTTAGACTATAGACAATTGGCAACTTCTTGTATAGTAGACTTGTTTATTTAGGCTACACTTTATTTTAAGGTGACGTAGTTACATGTACTTAAATAAGTTAATACTATAGTATTAACTATAATACATGTTAATACTATAGTAAGTACATGTAAGGCAGCTTAAAATAAAGTGTCATTTTCTTTTATTTATTTATTTTTCTGAAATAACAATCTGCTTCATTACTTTCATTTCTAATTTAAAACAACAACAACAACCTCAAAGATGTTCACAAGAAAGATCTCTGCAAACTGACCCAGTTCACCACAGGTATTTGAGCCGTAGTTTCTTTCAGGAAGGTAAACAGTAGTGAAAATGTTCTTGGTCTGGACACAAAGGGATTTTTGTTTTAGAGCCATCGGAGGAGGAGTTCTAAGACTCCGTAGCTGTTCATGGGAACGGAACAGTTCTGGTTTACACACACAGGCATCATCTCGCTTCAAAGTCAGTTCAACATGGACAGCCGGTGAGTAATGGAACTTTTCCCTCTGTCAAACTGCTCAGATTGCGCGAATGTTTTTTGGTAGGGGAAAACATTCTTTATTCATTGGAAATGTTTGCAAAATGTTGTATTTAAATCTTTTTCAAAATTGATGTTTCTTATTTAGTTGTTTCCTTTTAAGCTTTGTGGCTTTATGTATAATAATTTCTATAATTTAGTAGAATGCCTCAAGAAAAATGAGTATATTTGTATAAGTTTAGTTGTTTTGATTTCTTTTCGATGTCACCTCCTTCTAGCTCATTATGCTAAAAATGTGGACATCTGTTTTCATTCAGTCTTGAACACCCAGCCAGTGGCTATAAAAAAATCTTTGAGTCATGTGAAGAGTTAGCTGAGCCCATTCCTGCTCATGTCTCAGGTTTGTATGCTTTTATTAGTAATCAAGCATGTTCAAGTTTTGATACTTTTTACTTCTTATTTACTTTATGCTTTCATTGAAGGGAAAAATGTTGTTTCAGCTGTGGCTGATGTAAATGCCTGGTAGCCTTTGGTGGGAGCTGTTTTATAGCCATTTTGTAGTCAAGAATTCGCTTGGTTAAAGGGATGGTTCACTCAAAAATGAAAATTCTGTCATTAATTACTCACCCTCATGTCGTTCCAAACCCGTAAGACTTGCGTTCATCTTCAGAACACAAATGAAGATCTTTTTGATGAAATCTGAGAGCTTTCTGTCCCTCCATTGACAGCTACGCAACTACTACTTTTGAAAAGTTCATAAAGAGATTGTAAAGCTAATCCATATGAATTGAGCAGTTTAGTACAAATTTTCTGAAGACTCACTCTAAAGTGAACCTTCTCTCGCTCTCTGCAGGCAAAATCCCTGCATGGCTTACTGGCAGTCTGCTCCGCATGGGCCCTGGGCTCTTTGAGATTGGAGATGAACCTTTATACCACCTTTTTGATGGCCAGGCTCTCATACACAAGTTTGACCTGAAGGATGGACATGTCACCTATCACCGCAGGTAAAACCCTCTGTTTATTGTGCCCAAATATATAAATAAACTGCATCCCAAATTGAGTTTGATTACCTAAATGTTTTGCAATAATGGTAGCACTTTGTAGCACTTAGACATTCTCCTAACTATAAGTATCTTTCCAACTACATGTCAACGGTCTACCAGTCATTTGAGTATTAGTTGATTGTCTGCTTAAAAACACTTTATTTTGTTGGTCCCCCAACAGACATTCTACTTACTATAAGTAACTTTGCAACTAGACCTACATGTCAACTTATTCTACTAACCCTAACCTAACAGTCTTCTAATACTTTAACAAGAGTTGGTTGACGTGTAATTGCAAATTAATGAGATTTAGTTGGCATTTAGTTGCAAGTTATAGTTAGTAGAATGTGTTAAGTGGACCATCTGAGTTTAAATGCCTGGACTGATTTGTTTTGTGAAAAGTGGTTTATACAATAAAGAACTGAGATTTTACTTAAAACGCATATTAACTGGCATCTTGAACTTCAGGTTTATCAGAAGTGATGCTTATGTCAGAGCCATGACGGAGAAAAGGGTGGTGATCACTGAGTTTGGCACCGCTGCGTATCCAGATCCATGCAAAAACATATTTTCCAGGTCTGAAAAGTATTTTATGTTCAATTTGAATTGGGAATATAATAATAATGCCATAAAATGCCATCAAAATATTTACTCGAGTCTCATTTGTGCATCCACTTTTGGTATAGGTTTTTCACTTACTTTCAAGGCATTGAGGTGACAGACAACTGCCTTGTCAACATCTACCCCATCGGTGAGGACTTCTATGCCTGCACGGAAACCAACTACATAACCAAAGTTGATCCTGATACCCTCGAAACGATAAAAAAGGTAGGATTTTGGGTTACGCTTTAAAACGATGATCCCTTTATACTAGTAACGTTGCACCTACATGTCAACTAACTCTGATTAGAGTATTAGTTTATTATGATTTAGTAGACTATTAGGGGTAGAGTTAGAGAATAAGTTGACATGCTTGCAAAGTTACTTATAGTAGGTAGAATATTACTTATTTAGTTACTTATAGTAGGACCACAACAATAAAATGTTAGCTGATATTAAGCAGACAGTCTACTAATACTCTAATGAGAGTTAGTTGACATGGAGGTGCAACATTACTTATAGTCAACAGAATGTCTAAAGGGACGGCTTTTGTTCTGTCGCCTAGTTTTTAGCCCATTAACAAAAGCATAAATGCTGTACCATACCATCTCTATTTGCCTATAGGTGGACCTCTGCAACTATCTCTCAGTCAACGGTGTGACTGCACATCCACATACTGAACCAGACGGAACTGTATATAACATTGGAAACTGCTTTGGGAAGAACATGTCGCTGGCCTACAACATTGTCAAGATCCCTCCACCACAAGAAGGTTGGTATAATGCTTTGTTGGCATACAAGGGTCTTATTAATGCTTTATGAGAAGGTGTTTGACTTTTTTATTATTTGTTTAATCAGATAAATCCGATCCAATTGAAAAGTCAAAGGTTTTGGTTCAGTTTCCAAGCAGTGAGAGATTAAAACCATCCTACGTCCATAGGTTGGTAATATAATATAAAATAATATTTTCTAAATAATAATATTAATAACTAATATAATGATATATATTATACAGCTTTGGCATGACGGAGAACCACTTTGTGTTTGTTGAGACTCCGGTGAAGATCAATCTGCTGAAATTTCTGACTTCTTGGAGCATCAGAGGGACAAGCTACATGGACTGCTTTGAGTCAAATGACAGAATGGGTGTAAGTCCGAGCTTACTTGAATTATATCATCTTCAAATCATGGTTAATTATATGTTGGGGAAGGGGGAGGGGGGGGGATGCTCTAGGTATTTTGTATGTTGCCTCATCCTATTTATTTGGTTGCATTCCCAGACGTGGTTTCATCTGGCAACCAAGAATCCTGGAGAATACATCAACCACAAATTCAGAACATCTGCCTTTAATGTTTTCCATCACATTAACTGTTTTGAGGACCAAGGCTTTATTGTTGTTGACCTGTGCACTTGGAAAGGGTACGATTACTTGTTTTTTTTTTATATTTATTGAAGCTTTAGCTAACACCTCGAAATTGCCTAAATAACAAAATACAGAAATGAAAAAACAAAACAAACAAAAAAACACTTTGCACATGCATTTGGTGATCATCTGTGGTTCCCTTTCTTTTATTGACAGGTATGACTTTGTGTATAACTATCTATATTTGGCAAACGTGAGGCAAAATTGGGAGGAACTCAAAAAAGCATCCATGAGAGCTCCACAGCCAGAGGTGCGGAGATACGTGCTTCCACTGGACATCCACAGTGTAAGAGATATCAGTGTTATTTCAGTGTCTTTGAGATACTATTAGAATTTTATTAATAGTTTGAATTAATTTTTATTGATATATTTTCTGTTAATTTTAATTTTAGTATTTTAATACATCAAGTTAAACTGAATGAAAATAAGAAATGTTTCCCTGGCAAGTTACTAGCTGAAATAAAAATAAGCTTATCAAGTATAGCAACATTTTGTATGGTTTTAGTTAACTATAATAACCCTGGATATCATAGTTCTACTTCACCTCTACTTCACCTTCAGTTTGTTTCTTGATCTGTCTGTCTCTATCATTCCAATCCAAAAATGCATT